CTGCCGGTCCCCCTGACCCCTGGCCCCACGTGCCTGCGCCGCCGTCTGACCCGTGCCCCGCTGCCCACCGCAGTTCCGCTCGCTGTCCATGGTGTCCGAGTGCCTGTTCTCGCTCATCAACGGGGACGACATGTTCGTGACGTTCGCGGCCATGCAGGCGCAGCAGGGCCGCAGCGGCCTGGTCTGGCTGTTCTCGCAGCTGTACCTGTACTCCTTCATCAGCCTGTTCATCTACATGGTGCTCAGCCTCTTCATCGCGCTCATCACCGGTGCCTACGACACCATCAAGGTACCGGCCCCCGGCCGGGGTGACCCGTGGAGAGCGTACGGGAGGCTTCGCAAGGCCAGAACGAGGCGGCTTGGAAGTGGGGGGTTGCCCTGACGGCTCTGCCCCGAGGCCCCGAGGCTGCGTTTTGCAATGGGGAAACCAGGTCACGGGCTTTCGGCAATTGGCCCAGGGTCAGCCGTAAGCGTGGAGCGAGCTCACTCGAGGGCTCTGGTTCCGGAAGCCATGCTGTCAACCCCTCTGTCCAGTGGGGCAGCCGGGAATGGTGGTGGTCCTACAGGCCGTGCGCACCAGGGGACAGGAAGGAGACAGCAGGCTGCAGGGGCGGCAGTGGGCAGGAGTGTTCCAGCACACACGTCCAAGCCGGAGCACGGGCCAGGCCCTGCTGGGCGCTGAGGGCAGACAGTGAGGCGTTCGCGGTCCATCCAAGGCCTCTCGGTGAGACGGACGAGGGATGCCGAGGATTGACTGGACTGGCAAGAGCTCCAAGATCAGTGTGGAAGGTTCCGGGGGCCCCCCGCCATAGGACCACAAAAGCTTCTAGAATGTTCTCTGCAGTAATCTCTAGCTATATGCAACCATTTAAATTTTTGTTTTTATTTATTTAATTAGTTGTCAGAGGGTGTGTGTGCTCCCCAGAGAGGGAGATGGAGAAAGCACCCTCTCCCTAAAATGGACGTGGTCACACCACAGTCCCTCCTTCATTTTTCCATCCTGTCGGGGTTTCGCACATGCATGCACACGGCACCCGGCGTGTTTTTCAAGCCTCTGGAGCCAGGATTTGAACCATGGTTGGCTATGTGGAATCCAGCTCCCTTAACCTTTTTTTGGTGGGGGGAGAGGTTTTTGCTATAGGGTGCGTGTGCTCACACAGAGAGAGACAGAGAGACAGAAAGCGAGAAATCACCCCCTGGGGGGATGGCCACGCCGCAATCTCTTCTCCTCCATTCTCCTCATGGGATCTTGGGCACGCACGCACGCACATGTGCCCGGCATGAGTTTAAGCCACCAGGTCGGGAATCGAACTGCAGTCAACTACACGGGAGTCCAGCAACATAGCCATTATGCCAACTGCTGGTCCCAAGCTCCCTTAGCCATTAGGCCACGTGGCAGGCCCTACGTTTTTACTCTAACTAAAATGAAATCCAGTTCCAATTTCAGTTCCTCACTCGCACTGTCCGCTTATCCAGTGTCCCAAAGTCAGCATGTACGAGTTGGGTAGCGTGATCAGGTCGCTGTGGGACATTTTCCTGGCAGAGTTCTAGATCAAAGATGGGAGTACAGGGGCCAGCAGGTGGCATGGTGGTTAAAGGCGTTGGATTCCCACATGGCCAACCGTGGTTCAAGTCCCAGACCTGGCGGCTTGCTTTCTCCTTTTCTCTCTCCCTCTCTCTCTCTGGTCAAATTAAAAAATAATAACAAATGGAAATAAATAATTCTAAAAATAAATAAGTAAAAATGGGAGTACAGCCCAGGAAGGAGCAGCCAAAACAAAGGTCCAGGAGCTTGAAAGGACAGGGAGAAAAGGTGGGGGTCCCACGAGTCAGGAGGGAGGGCGAGCTGGGGTCCTGACATGTCCTGTGTGGGCCACATGCATGCACCCCGGCCCTGGAGGCCAGGGCAGGTTGCTTTTGGAGAGATTTTTGCTATAGGGTGTGTGTGCTTGCCAGAGACAGAAAGTGAGAAATCACCCCCCAGGGGGGATGGCCACACGGCAGTCCCTTCTCCATTCTTCCCTTGGGATCTTAAGCACGCACGCACATGTGCCCGGCGTTGAATTTTAAGCCCCAGGTCCAGGACTCGAACCACGGTGGACTACATGGGAGTCCAGCAGCATAACCACTATGCCATCTGTGGTCCCACCACAGGCATCAGCCGTGGGTGTCCGATCTCTAGGTGCTGGGCTGCAGGGCTGGCAGCAGGTGACAGAGATGCTGCGTGTGTCTGCGTTCAGGTCTCAGGCACAGCAAGTGCAAAGGGCCGGGGGAGGGAGCCCCTCTGGCTATCCAAGGAGCAGAGAGACCTTGGCTAGAGGGCAAGGCGGGCCTCCTTCCAAGGGCCTTGGAGGTCGGGGCCACTTCCTGCTGGACAGCCAGCATCTCTCCCCAGCACCCAGACGGTGCCGGCGCGGAGAAGAGCGAGCTTCAGGCCTATATTGCGCAGTGCCAGGATAGCCCCACTTCCGGCAAGTTCCGTCGCGGGAGCGGCTCAGCCTGCAGCCTTCTCTGCTGCTGTAGCAGGTTCGAGTCCCTGGTCCGTTCGGGTTGGTGATTAGGGATGGGGTTAGTGGAGCATGCCAGAAAGAGCTGATTCCCCTCCTCCCTGCGCCCCTTCCCCAGGGACACCTCCGAGGAGCCTTCGCTGCTGGTGAATTGACCACAGTTGCCTCGGAACTCAGCCTACGGACTAAGGGGACACCCCCTACTTATTTATTTTTAGGGTTTGCTTTTAAGGACCGGTTTCCTGCGGTGCCCGGAGGGCCCAGGCCAATCGGGTCGGACATTGGGGCGGGGTGGGTGTGAAATAAACGGGAAAATACACAACTTGTTCTCATTCCTAGAAAAAGGGACGGGCTTTGCGCTGATAGGTTGGCGGCCCCTTTAAGGCGCCGCCACACTCGGCATGGCTGGCTCCCGGCGACCTTCCAAACATGGCGGGGGGCGGGGCTACCACGTGCCCTGCGGCGAATAATTTAAAGGGGCCGCGCCCGCGGCGCCGGGCGGAACGCTAGCGGCTTTGGCGCAGAGCGCGGACCCCAGCTGCGGCCCCTGGGTGAGTCCGGGTTTCATTTGACCGCGCAGAGTCGTCTCTGGGAATCATTAGCGAGCCTCGACTTTTCCAAGATCTGTCCTCCGCCAGTTCTTAGTAGCTCCCGGTTTTCTGATGCTCGCATCCCCTCGGTTCCCGACAGGTGTTTCCACAACGGTAGCCAGGTGGCCCCGGGGGGTCAGAAGGGTCGTTACCCAAGACTTCTCCAGGCAACGTTTTAAGAGCCCAGCGGTCCCCCCGAATTAACAATATTGTGGCAGCTCCGGAAGCATCTTCGGCTTCCCAGAAAAGTCCCAGCGATATTCCAGCGTTATTTCGTATTTTAGGAGCCCGGACGCCCTCGAATGGCTCACCCTGTTCCCCTCCACCCAGTGGTAGTCCTGGATTCCTCGGAATCTCGCAGTAACCCCCAGTAATTCCAGCGTCCGTGGTTACGCCGCCCAGCCATGGCGCCGGCACCGTCTGAGATCCCCTAACCTCACCATTACGTGATAGGAAGTCCCTGGCACCTCGAGTGCCCCAGGACCACCCTATGGGAGCCCCCAGCAGCCCCCGCGTGCCCTAACTCCGGGGTCTTCCAGAGGGCAGGACTGCCCGGGAGTCCAGTGTCCCCGCGCCTCCGTGGCTTGCAGGTCCGTTTTCCTGGGGTGGGGCATCTAGTTCTCGCAGAGGGTAAGGGGAACGTGGTCTAGGGGTCGCTTGATCAAGAATGATCAATTCCGCAGAGGGCAGAGGCCGGGAAGGCCACCAGCCGGAGGAAGCCGTGCCTTCGGGGGACCCGCCCGCACACTGTTGACAGTGGGTGCCGGGACCGCTACCCTTTGCCCCGGGTGGGGTTGGACGGGCGGGGCGTAGACTAGGTCCCGTGCGTAGGCGACAGGAGCCTGGTGGGGAACCGGGATCCTTTCACCCTCTGGCCTGGGCTGGGAAGTCAGCTTGTTCCATCCCTCCGCCCCTTCTCCGCCTGTAGCCCCCGGCGGGTAGAGGCTCCTCCCAGGCCACAGGTAGCCAGGGGGCGGGGTTTGCGACAGGGGAGGAGCGAGCCCGGATCGACGACGTGCACGAGTTCCTCTGCTCCTCGATCCCTAGGACTCCGGGCTGTCAGACCTGCCGCCCAGCAACGATGGAGGCCCCACTGCAAACAGGAATGGTAAGGGTCTGGGGTGTTGCTGCGCGGCGAGGACTACAACTCCCAGAGTGCTCAGCGCGCGTTTTCAGGGTATCGCGAGATCTAGCCTGCGTCTGTTCCGGCGAAACTACGTTTCCCGGCGTGCACTGTGGGCCGTCAAGCCGCAGGGAAGAGTCGCGCCCCCGGGGAGGGAGCCCTCGCTGGCCCCTTTCGCAGATAGGGACACCGAGGCACGAACTGACTACCAGCTCCTCGGGGGTGGCGATGACGGAGCAGGAGGGGGCCGGGGGCGTGCCGGCGCTCGGGGAGGGCTCCGCAGAGCGGATATGCGGTACGCAGCCGGTGCCGTTCGTCCCGCAGGTGCTGGGCGTGATGATCGGGGCCGGAGTGGCGGTGGTGGTCACGGCCGTCGTCATCCTCTTGGTGGTGCGGAGGCTGCGAGTGCCGAGTGAGGACCTGGCGGGCCCCGGCGGGGAGGTCGTGGGGCGGGGAGCTGGAATGCTGGGGGTCCCCGGAGCGGCAGAAATGTGCACGCAGCTCTGGTAACACGGAGCCTGCGCAGACCTCCGCGTGCCCCTCTCCCCACCTCCCCAGAAACTCCAGCCCCGGAGGGCCCCCGGTACCGGTTCCGGAAGAGGGACAAAGTGCTTTTCTATGGCCGGAAGATTATGCGGAAGGTGAGTGGGGACTCCCTGGGGTCCCTGCTGACCGCGCAGAGGCCCTACCCCTTCCCTGTTTACACCTCGTAGTGGACTCTGCCCTGCCCTGCTTGAATAAGGACCCCCATCTGGCCCTCTCTCCCCCACGGTCTGACGCGACACTTGACCCATTCCCTGCTTAATTCTCCCAGGTGTCACAATCCACTTCCTCCCTGGTGGACGCCTCTGTCTCCACCACTTCCCGGCCACGGATGAAAAAGAAACTGAAGATGCTCAACATTGCTAAAAAGTAAGGCGGTGCTAGGGCTATCTCGGGGCCCTTAAGCAGTCAGCCTACACCAAAGTGGACATTTCAGGGTTCTCTGCACCCCGCAACTCAGGGCTGTCCTATGAGGGCTGTCCCAGAACTCTGCCCCTGCAGACAGGCTGTCTCAGGCTCTCTGTTTGCTGAGGGCTATCTCAGCCATGTTCCCCTAGCACAGGGGCCTTCAGAGCTCTTTGCTCCCAAGTCAGTGTCTCGGGGGGTTTTGTCCTGTATTTTGGGGCTCTATATCTGTGTTCTCCCCACACAAGAGGATTTATTCCTGGGTGTCGTATTGAGGTTAGCTCAGGTGTCTCTGACCTGCTAGGGAGGCTGTCTCAGCAAGAGAAAGAGAGAGAGGAGAAGGCACCCCTTGTGGGGAATGTCCACACTGCAGTCCCTTCTCCTGTCTCGCCCATCTTGTTGAACTTCGGGTGCACGTGCACAGGTGCCCATCGTGTTTCTCAAGCTGTCCGGGGCGGCCACGTGGGGTCTGGCTGCCTTAACCCACAGGTCACCCAGCCAGCCCTGACCTCTCCATCAGAAGGCATCGCCCTGAGCGTGCGCAGTTTTCTCCACACGAGGGAGGCTGTCTCGAGGGCTTCTGCGCAGTTTTCTCCACACGAGGGAGGCTGTCTTGAGGGCTTCTTTTCTTTTTCTTTCCTTTTGTGAGAGACTTTTGCTATAGGATTGCGTAAGCTCGCCAGAGAAACAGCGGTAATGGCCATTCCTTCTCCTCCTGGGATTTTGAGCACACACACACATGCATGCACGTGTGTGTACATATATGCTTGTACATATATGCCTGGCTGGGCCTGTGGTGGTGGTCGGAGTGCCTGTGGGCGTTGCCCATGGCTGGTCCCTGGGACTCACATGCCTGCCTCGTCCAAGGATTAGCGCTCCCAGAGGATGCCGTTCGCTTGTCTCTTCACTTTCCCCAGCTGTTTCTTCCACCCTAGCTTCAGCTAGTGTTGCCGTGTTGTGTTACCTACCTACCTGCACATCAATTCACACATCTACATATTGGATTATTGGAAAAGTCTTGATGCTTTTTTCATGGAAACACACAGAAAATATGTCATGACTTTCCTGACGACTCGATAGATTTTGACATTTTCCTTCAAAACACCTGCATGTACAAGACCTGCATGTTTACTTTTTTTTTTTAAGGGGTTTTTGCTATAGGGTGTGTGTGCTCGCCAGAAAGACAGAGAGAGGCAGAGAGACAGAAAGTGAGAAATCACCCCCCAGGGGGGATGGCCACGCCACAATCCCTCCTCCTCCATTCTCCTCTCGGGATCTTGGGCATGCACGCACATGTGCCCAGCGTGAGTTTAAGCCACAAGTCCAGGACTCGAACCGCGGTTGGCTACGTGGGAATTCAACGACATAGCCATTATGCTAACTGCTGGTCCCCCATCCTGGCATGATTTTCAAGCCGCCAAGTCTGGTACTTGAACCATGGTCAGCCATATGGGAGTCCAGTACCTTAACCACCACGCCACCTGCTGGCCCTGCAGTAAGTCATCTTAAGGGTCTCTGTTGGCAGCAAAGGGCCACCATAGGGTCTCTGAGAAAGTCTCTTCCAGGGATCTTCACAGGTCAGGAGCTGGCTCAGGGTCTATCTCAGTGGTTTCTGAAGCACGCTAGAAACCATTCCTGGCCCTCGGCGATCTGCCGCCAGGCTCTGCAGGGCTGTCTGTGATCAGGAAGGAGGGCTGTCTCTGGGTTCCCCACGTCACAGGGGCCATCTCCAGTGTCTGCCCACCCTCGGGGAGCTACCCTGAGGCCTTCCCGAGCATCAGAAGGCCACCCCAGGGCTCTCTGTGACCTGAGGCAGGGCCAGTCCAGGGGTCTCTCTGATCAGGAGAGGACCCATGGCTGGATTTCTCCCCATCACTGAGTTTAACTCGGATCTACTCAGACTCAGGGTCTGAATCAGGGATCTTGTCCAGTGGAGGGACTGTCTCTGTAGTCTCTGTGACTTCTGGGGAGGGGCCACCCCAAGTCCACCCAGGCAGAGAGGCTGTATCTGGATTCTCCATCTATGGTGAGGGCCATGTCTGGGTTCTCGGCAGCTCTCGGAGGGTCTGTTTCAGGGTCCTCTGAGCCTGGGAGGATGGGCTACTTCAGAAATCGTAGCCAGGACAGAGAGGCCGTCCCAGAGGTGGGACCACATGAGAGGCCAGCACAGGAATCTACCCTATACCTGGGAGGACTGACTGTTCCAGGGGGCCCTGAAACAGGTGCTCCTTTAACTCAGAAAGGGTGTCAAGGGTCTGCCTAACTAGAGGGTCCATCCCGGGGAGCTGTGACCAGGAGAGGGAAAATGTCTGGACTTTAGGTCACAAGTGGTAAATGTTTTCTATCAGGCCAGGAGGTGGTGCAGTGGTTAAGGCACTGGACTCCCACATGGCCGACCATGGTTCAAGTTTGGGACCTGGCAGCTTGCTTTCTCAGTTTCCCTCTCTTTCTCTCTCTCTCTCTCTCTCTCTCTCTCTCTCTGGTGAGTGCATGTGCCCTATAGCAAATTAAAATAATCATAATAAACTAAACTAAATACATACTTTTTTATTTTTAGAGAGAGAGACTTTTGCTATAGGGCCACGTGCTTATAATATAGAGAGAGACAGGGAGACAGAAAGCGAGAAATCACCCCCGGGGGGATGGCCATGCTGAGGT